TCCCAGCTATGATAGCCATTGCACAAAATATCATTTATAAAAGTCGTCATTTTTTTGTCACACTGATCTTTTTAGCGTGTTTGACTCCATCACGTATTGAATTCCCCATTTATACTTTGGGTCTGTTTTCGTGGATTCTGTGGAGTTTCACTTGTTGTTTGTTTTGTTTTGGAGACAGAGTCGTTGCTCTATACCCTGGGGTAGAGTTCAGTGACATCATCTGTCCTCACTGGCACCTTCAAACTCCTGGCGCTTAAGCACCTCCTGCCGCTGCCTCAGCCTCCTGAGTAGCTGGAAGCTAGCGGGTGTGTGGCCATGAGCGGGGCTAATTTGTTATTTAGTGGAGACAGGCTTGTTCTTCTTCCAGGGCTGGCTAAGACTCCTGAGCTCAAGCAATCCTCCTGCATCGCCTCTCAGAGCGCAGATTACAGCGTGAGCTACCGCGCCCGGCGTTCTCATAAATGTTTAACATGCTCAAAGACTATCTATGATGAAACTTTTGATCTCAGTGTTTGACTATTTACAGAAGTGACTTGGATTTTTTTTTTTTTAAAGACGTATCGGCTCTTGTGACCAGAGCCTGGAGTGCAATGGCATCACCTTAGCTGACTGCATCCTCAAATGCCTGGCTCAGCTGTGTCCTCTTGTCCAGCCTTCCAAGTAGGCTGACACCTAGCCACTATCGCCTGTTCTAATTTTGTAGAGACCTTACTATTTGCTCGGTCGCTTGTGGCTGTGTCCCCAAACTTTGAACTTCTGACCTCGAGCAATCCGCCTGCCTCGGCCTCCCAGAGTGCTAGGATTACAGGCGTGAGCCACCGCGCCCGGCCGGCACTGTGTTCTTATAATCAAAGGAAAGTAAGTTCCTCAGAACTGGCAGGTATTTGTCCTGGAAAGTCCTTATCAGACATCTTATTTATATTACAGATACCAGAAAGTCCATTGTAAGTTGAAAATTTTATAAGTTAAAAGTGTATTTTCAACTTAAAATACAATTTTACCAATTTACAACAGGTTTATCTGCAGGTAACCCCATTTTGTAAGTTGAGGAGAGTACTGAATGTATATGCTTTCACACCATCATAAAGTGGAAAATTGAACCATAGTAAGTCAAGGACCATCTGTAATTGGAAAAAGTTATATTGAAAATGTCTTTGAAATAAATGATAGCCTTACACAAAGGGTTACTGGGATGGTATAGGCTCTAAAACTATTGTTTGCAGCAGGTACCAGACTGGTAACTGGAGTCACCAGGCTGGGTGACTGGGTGACAGGATGACTCCATATAGTACCCATAGTATTTCTGGGTGTTCTGCTGAAGGTGGATTATTTACAGTACATAACCAATATTTAGATTTTAAGGTTCACTAATCTTATGGAGAATGCAAAATAAACTTAGTCTTAAATGCTTCATAGATGTGCAATTAAAGAATACCCAATAGTTTTAACTCACTTCAGTTGCTTTAAAAATGTATTTATATCTAATATCTCTGCTTGTTCCTTCTATTTAATGCAAGAGAGGCTCAGTAGCAGTCCAGTGGCACTTTCTAATTGCCACGTTAACAGGAGGAGGGAGATGCCTGGCATCTGGATCTCTTCCAGCCTTCAAAGACTTACCATTTATGTATCATGTGTACCTTGAATACCTTTTATTTTATTTTATTTTATTTTATTTTATTTTATTTTATTTTATTTTATTTTATTTTATTTTATTTTATTTTATTTTATTTTAGAGACAGGGTCTTACTCTGTTGCCTAGGCTAGAGTGCAGTGGTATGATCATAACTCACTGCAGCCTTGAACTCCTGGGCGCAAGTGATCCTCCTGCTTTAGCCTCCTGAGTAGCATCACAACACCCAGCTAATTTTTCTTATTCTTTGAAGAGACGGTATCTCCCTATGTTGCCAAGGCTGATCTTGAACTCCTGGCCTCAAGTGATACTCCTGCCCTGGCTTCCCAAAGTGCTGGGATTATGGGCATGAACCATATATATATATATATATTTTTTTTTTTTTGGTTGTTTTCTAAATTTAGAAGGAGGTAAAGGCAATTGCTAAAATGAAATTGAACAAGATGGTTTGAAATTTGATGACATAAAATTGTCAGTATTTGCCTGGTTGTAGTAAAATGAGTACCATTCTGTATTTCTTGAAAATGTGGTGCTTTTTTTCTCCTTCCAAATCTTAGTGTATCATCCATAAAGGTTATTGAGTTGGTTTTGGTTTCATAAAGGAGAAAATGAAAGTAAAAATTTAGAGTTACCCCCAATTATTGGAGTTTATACATTTGTCACTAGAAAACTACTATTTTTAGTTGAATAGTAGCTTGTTATTGTAGTTTATAGTATTTATACGCTGCTGTGGTTTTGAATGTTGCTCTTAAGGCTGTAGTTAGTGACCCACTAGGTTTTAATTGCAAGGAAATTTCAGAGAATGTGAAAAAGTATTGGTTAAAGTTAGAAAATATCCATTCTTGCTTTCCTCAAAATTGGCTCCACTGGCTACTTAAAGACAGTAGAATGTTTTAAAAAATATGCTCTTTAAAGTCTAGCTCTCATTAAAATACCATAATAACTAGTATGTAAGTGATAGTTGCTTTTTTGTTGTTACTGAAACTCTGTGGTAAGAGGAAAGCTTCAGTAAAATCTTAAAAATATATAATATTAAAAAAACTGGTAAATAGAGGATTTTAAAAAATGGAATGTGGAAGAGAAAGTGAAAGACAAAAGTATAGGTTTGACATGGTTATATTCATTTTAATTCTTTGTTTCCTTGGACATTTCAGGTAAGGTTGTTTCCTGTTTTTGACAAAATGTATAATTATTTTTAAAATATCATTTGTATATTTCTTTATATTTATAATTAGTTTATCTTAAAAAAAAATACAAAGCCAAAACCCATTTTAATGCTATATAAAGCTTGCAAATTTCTCTCCTATATCAGGAAACAAACTGTGTGTGTACTAATTTCTAAATTACTATTTGGGCTTCTAAACATATATGTTGTTCATACAGCAAAGCATTACAGAGTGATCTGTATTGTCGATGTTTCACTGAGAGTTTACTATTATTTTGTACTGTTTGTCTCTGCATTTATTCAATATTACCATATGCTATAATCACTAGACCAGAGCAGATTCTCCAGCAAGCAGAGACTTCCAAGTAGGAGCCAAAATAAACAATGGGAAATGAAGCTGCTATAACATTTTGTGGGCAGTAGTTGCAAAATGCTTTTTGAAAATTTAACATAGTAAGTGGGAAAGTAGGTCACACCTCATTTTTTTTATAAAGTCCTTTCTGTTATCAGACTTTCAGAATTTTGTATATATTTAATGATTAAAGTAGGCATTTATAAATGATGTGGAAATAATTTTAAAATAAGTTTAAATAATTAAGCAATTTTCTATTTTTATTTTCTATAAATGAGAGTTTTTTAAAAAACCTATTATAATCAAATATACTTTTGATCATTTCTTCTAATGGAAGGGCTTATATGATTAAGAGAGAGACATGGATGATACTATGATTTTTTTGTTTATTTTCATCAAACTTTATATCAAATTTTAGTTGACAAACTGTTTAAGAGTTTTCTTTTGCTAACTACCTTACTGTTATCTTACTGTTTGATAAGCAAGAACAAGTTTAACCAACAATTTTGGGAAATAGAAAAGTGGCAAAGAATGTATAGCTTCAGCCAGGTGCAGTGGTTCACGCCTGTAATCCTAGCACTCTGGGAGGCTGAGGCAGGATGATCACTTGAGGTCAGGAGTTTGAGGTAGCAGTGAGCTATGATGACACCACTGCACTCCAGCCTGGGCGACAGAGTGAGATGCTGTCTCTAACAAAAAAAAAAAGCATTGTATAGTTCTTTTGCTTTAAGAAAATAAGAACTTGTAAATTCATGTAGGAGAGCTTTTCAGTATTCAGAATTGTATCTTAGATCTGTATTATTTGCTCATTCCACCCAAAAAGGGGAAATGGCAATACAAAACCATAGCATCTTATGCGACTTATGTCAACTATTACCCTATATTCTAACCTAATATATCATTTGTAAGTCTTTAATCATCATCATCATCATCATTCCAATCACAATAATTCTATATTACTTAATGACGTTTCATATCATATGCATATCTATTATCTCATTTAAGCCCCCTTAGTTGGTTTTTCTATGAAAACCATTACACATACACATACACACACATATAATATAAAAATGCTTCCCGATTATTTAAGTATCTTCATGATGGAAAGGAGGTAATTGATGACTTTTATTCCTATTACGCATAAGGCTTTATGGTAGGCAGTTTATGTACTATATTAATACATTATCTCACTTAATCATAACCACAAACTTATAAAGTATTACAAGTATTATAGAAAGGTAGGAAATGGACTTTTTATGCAGTAAGGAAGATACTGGTCTTCGTGAAGAGACAGTGATGCTCCAATATACTATTTGATTATGTGACCACTCTCCAGAGTGGTTAGGAAAGCTGATTTTGTGAAGGAGATAGGACTTGTATTGTTTACCAAGAAAGGGAAGAACAGAGGAAAATGGGGTTTGTGTAAATAGTGATGAGTGCAATTTAGACATGTTGAGTTTAAGAAAAATTTTATAGAAGGTAAATACAGCCAAAAATGGTAAGATTTTTTTTTTGCCTTGAATTACATAGATTCTTGGTAGACATTTCTTTTAACGATATTAATATTTAAACTTCGATCATATTTGCAAGGGAATGTAATAAGATGTTAATGCCTCAAATAGATAAATTTGGGGATGATATCATGATATATGCACACATAGCTATGAAGACTAAGGATATTTATTATGCAAACTGGATTATATGAAATCTCTTAAACTTCATTTAATATACAGGCAAAACTTGTTTATTGTAGAAAAATTAGAATATAGAAATTAACACAAAGGAAAAAATAAACAGTCCTACCACTGGGTTGAATGAATTCTAATTTTTTTCCTGTATGTTGTTTCTTTCAGAAATATGGCTACACACACCTTTCTGCAGGAGAACTTCTTCGTGATGAAAGGAAGAACCCAGAATCACAGTATGGTGAACTCATTGAAAAGTACATTAAAGAAGGAAAGATTGTGCCAGTTGAGATAACCATCAGTTTATTAAAAAGGGTAAGGAGTGTGAATGCCAGTCAGTTCAAACCAGCAAGGAAATAAATTAAATCCACCTTTCATTTGAGTAATGAAAAAATCAGAGTATTGAATTTCTTGCTTGTGGAAGGTGGTCATGGTTGTTTGACAATGGCAGAACTGGAAACTGTGCTGTCACTTGGGAAGAAATTCAGTGGTGGCAAGGATTCTTTACCTTGGTCTAGCAATAGCTGTAGCTCAACTTAACATTCATGTATATACACTTGATGCTTCCTTCCCAACATTCAGATAGGACATTCTCTCTTCTATTTCTTCTTTCTTTATCCCCCTTTGCCCCCTTTCTTCTCCTTTCTCTTTCTTATCTACCTCCTTGTTTCTTTCTGTCTTCTTTTATCCCATATCCTTCTCATTGTTGATATTCTTTTAGTCTTGATGTCTTCTTTTCTGGTACATGCATCACCATTTTCAATGTGAAATGCTATGACATAATACCTATCAAACTAAAATATGTTACATCTAAAAAACAGTTACCTTGCATTTGCTAGGTAACTCTTCACTATAGACTGCTAAAACTATAGTCACTAACAGGAATTTTCACATATAAGAAACAGTGAAGGAGAAGGAGAGATGCAATCTTGGGAATGACAAGAAATAGCTGAAGCTTGATAGAAAAGAGATATTTAAGCATCTGGGTGGAACTAAAGACACTTGTGGATAAAGAGTGGCTCATACACACTTTTTTACTACTTGTCTCAGAGGTTGGAGTAACCTGCTTCCATTCCAGAGTAAATATATCCTCTATTCCCTATTGTCTAATGCTCTTCCTCTGCTTTATAGCTAAGCATTATGAGAGTGGTCTACATTTATTTTTCACTTTCTACTTTTCAACCTTTTGCAGTCAGGTTCTGTTTTCATCTCCATTGCATCTGCTCTTGCATGTTACCAGTGTTCTTCTCTATTAAATCTAGGGGATACTTTTCATTGTTATTTATTTATTTATTTTTGGTAGCATTTAACTCTGATCACTGTCTATTTGAAACTCATTCCTCCTTTGTTCTTTGTGATATCATTTTTGTTGATTCTGCTTCAGTGACTGCTATTTCTCAGTCTTTCTTAACAGCATTTTTTTTCCTTTTCAAGTTTCCTAAACCATGATGCTTCTCAAGTTTTTATCCTTGGTTCTCTTCAGCTCTCCGTTTATATATTTTTTGCTGGATGGTTTTAGCCATGTCGAAAGCCTTCACTGTGTTAATGATGCTGAAGTCTACAGTTCTAGAACCCATCTTTGTTCTGAACTCTAGAGTTTTATTTTTAACTAATTACTAGGTATCTTTCTGATTATCTCACAGGTGTCTCAAAATAAACATATCAGAGTCTGAGTGCATTATCTCAAATGTGATCTCTCTTTATTTCTGGTCTTGGTTAATGGTTCTACCATCTACCTAGTTGCTCAAGGCAGAAACTGGGGAGCCATCCAATATTGTATACCTCTTCCTTACTTTCCCAAGTCCATTTGGTGAGCAAATCTTTCCAATTCTTTTTAATTCTCTTCTATTAGTCTCTTCTATCACCTAGTTCACTGTCCTCTTTTTTTCCTATCTGGACCATCACTAGAGCCTCCTAGTTAGTCTTTTTGCCTTTAAGTCATCCTTGTTCCCTTTCCAATTCATCATTCTTGGTGCAGCCAGAGTAATTTTTTTTCTAAAAGACAGTATGAGCCCTGTTAATCTTAAACTACTTAAAATTCTTTTTTTTTTTTTTTGAGACACAGTCTCGCTTGCTTTGTTGCCCAGACTAGAGTGAGTGCCATGGCATCAGCCTAGCTCACAGTAACCTCAGACTCCTGTGCTCAAGCAATCCTCCTGCCTCAGCCTCCCGAGTAGCTGGGACTACAGGCATGCGCCACCATGCCCATCTAATTTTTTCTATTCTATATTAGTTGGTCAATTAATTTCTTTCTATTTTTAGTAGAGACAGGGTCTTGCTCAAGCTGGTTTCGAACTCCTGACCTGGAGCAATCCGCCTGCCTCGGCCTCCCAGAGTGCTAGAATTACAGGCGTGAGCCACCGCGCCCAGCCTTAAAATTCTTAAATGGTCCTATATTGCTTCCAGAATAAAACTCAGTTCTTTAGTGTGGCATAAAAAGTTCTTCATTATTTTATCCTTGCTTACTTTCAGTCATGTCTCCCACCACTCCCTACACCTACCCTAAGATTTCACTTGTACCAGCTTGCTTCAGATTCATCAAAGCTGTTAGGCCATCTTGTTTCTGAGCCTTCATACATCTAGTTTCCACTATCCAGAGGACATTAATCCCTGTCTGCCTGCCATTTCATTATTCGGGATTCAGTTCCACTGTTACCTTTTTGATAAAGCTTTAGCTGGCAGTTTGTGCTTTATTTTATCATAGCATCTTTTGCATACCTTATCATAGAACTTAAAATATCTACATATATATATTTGTCACCCACTGGACTGTGCGCCCTCCAGGGACAAGAGCCATGACCTTGTTCTTCATGTTCCCTCAGCTTTGAATAAGTGTACACTGAGTATAATATTGATGTACCTCCTTTACATATCTTCTACTACTATAATTAGGGTAGAAATTTTATAGCAGAGGCCAAAAAGCGTTCTGCACAAGTTTTGTGAATATTGAAGAAGCAGCTAGGTGCTGGGATGAAGCCAATTCTCAGATAAAGGAATCATGGTTCCTGACAGCCATTGTCCTTCCTGAGGAACCAGAAAAGTTTGAGCATGATGGTAGTGAATGTTAGTTTGCTTTGAAATAGAGGTTCTTCTAAGGTTTGTCAAAGTCATGCATCTGTGTTTATCCTATGGTGATTAGAAGTGGCAAGGATTTGGAGATCAGAGATCTGCATTTCCCATTCACATATTCCCACATTCTACCTAACATCAGGCTTTGGAAGAGAGTAGTGAAATGGGTTGCTCTTGCCATTTTTCTGAATGTATTCTTTTCTTTTGCTCCTTGTGTTTGGGGGCAGCCAGTAGCATTTAGATTGAGTTAACTTCAGTTAAAAAAAAATTGAGGCTGGGCACAGTGGCTCATGCCTGTAATCCTAGCACTATCAAAGGCCAAGGCATGAAGATTTTTTGAGGCCAGGAGTTCGAGACCAGCCTAAGTAGGAGCGAGACCTCATCTCTACAAAAAAATAGAAAAATTAGCCAGGTGTGGTGGTGCGTACCTATAGTCCCAGCTACTCGGGAGGCTAAGGCAGGAAGATCACTGAGGTTGTAGTGAGCTATGATCATGCCACGGCACTGTAGTCCAGACAATAGAGTGAGACCCTATCTTAAAAAACAAACAAAAAAATTGAATCCTATACTGATAATTAATGCTAACTATCTTTTTGTGTTTGTCCAAAGCTCTGTGCTGTTGGACTTGAATTATAGCAGAGTTGAGCACCTGTAAAAGTAATATACTTTCTACCACAGTAAAAAGACTTAGGAAGGGCACAGGACAGGGTGTTCCATTACTGAAGCAAAGATACTGGTTAGTGGTTATTTTCCTCTTATTGCTGGTCTTACTGTTTATAATTTTGTGAATATATATATGAATAACATATGCTTACTATAAAAAATTTAAAACTGTAGAAAACAATTGTATGTGTGTATAAAATGAGAAGGTGGGGAGGGACACATACCCATAACCCCACCATCTTGAGGCAACCATGTTAATACATTGGTTCATTTCCTTCTAGTCTTTTTTTTCCCCATGCACTCCCCACTCTTTACTTAGGGTTTAAAGAATAATAATAATAAAACAAACACCCATGTATCCACTACCCTGCTTGAGAAATTGCATTTTGTTAATGTAGTGTTGAACCTAAATCTTTTTCCTTTAGGAAATGGATCAGACAATGGCTGTCAATGCTCAGAAGAATAAATTCTTGATTGATGGGTTTCCGAGAAATCAAGACAACCTTCAAGGTTGGAATAAGACCATGGATGGAAAGGCAGATGTATCTTTTGTTCTGTTTTTTGACTGCGATAATGAGGTAATGAAAATCTTCATTTGCCCACATAGGCTTTAAGCAACTGTTGGTCAACTATTAGAGAAAAATTAATTTTTTTCTTATGTTTACATTTTATGTTGGCAGCTATATTTTTTTGAATTGGTAGATTAGTTGGACAAAATAGCACTGTCTTGCTGTTGGAAACTAATTGGCATCAGCAGACTTTTGGACCAAAATTTGCTTTATTTTCAAAATAAGAATCAATTTTGTTTTTTTAAAAATAAGAATTGACATGCACAATAATGTTAAGCTGACTACTACTTTCTTAGGTAGGCACTATTATCAAAGGGTGTCTTGCCTTACGAGTTGTTTGCTAGAAAAGAAACACGTTTTTGGCAAGTTGGGAAAATTTTCTATTTTAAAAAACATGTAAGATAGCTTGATTTGTCTTAAGAATGAAATGATCTTGAAAAAAGCAGGAAAGTGTTCTTTTTCTTTCTGGCACTTTTAGTAACAAACTCAGACATACATTGGAATAAGTAAATACATTTCTCGGAATCATTTAATTAAATGGCCTGTGTTTGACAGCTGCTGTAATATAAATTTCATTAAATTAATGCCAACAGACTGAAAGACTAAGAATCTGAAGTAGTGCCTTGAAAGAAGTTGGCTATTCTTAGGTTGAATTGTAAATGTGCCTCTGGTAGAGAGACTTGCTGCAGCCTTTGAGTTGTTTTAAAATATAACTCTCTTCTTCCAACCCCCAAAAATATGTTTTCACTTATTCTTCAAAGTTAACTTTAGAATGTTACCACAGCTTATAACTAAGGAATGTTTATTCATGATTAACAAGGGATGCTTTATTCAAATGCAAATATGTTGACTCTTAAATATTTGGATATTTATGGAATTATAGAAAAGTAAGCAAAAATGGAACAAAGTTTGAGGCATGTAATTCATACCTAATAAGTTAATAATATATCCGAGATGGAACCATACACATACAGATCTTCTTTTTATTGCGGTTTGAAAAAAAAATACACAGGAAAAACTGAGTCATGAATGAATTCTTTTTATGCTCTGTACTTATTTAACCTAGTTTATATAAATTGAACCACATGTTTAAATTTAAAAGGACTGTGCATGTTGATTAATGAATTAGACACATTGAGTTTAATGCAGGGTTTTGGTTTTTTTTTTTGTCATTTCTTTAAACTTTATTTTCTTTTCAGGTTAAAAGAATTGCAAATTCATATCTTTTTACTTTTAAAATAACTATATCTCTTTTAGATCTGTATTGAACGATGTCTTGAGAGGGGAAAGAGTAGTGGTAGGAGTGATGACAACAGAGAGAGCTTGGAAAAGAGGTACTTTGCAGTTTTTACATAACCACCTCAATCCCAGACCTGCCCCATTTTGGACCTGAAAAAGAAAATGTTATACTTAACTGTGTAAAATGGCTTCTGTAAGGAAATGACGAGTTAGTTGGGTCAGATTCAGTTTTGTCCTCTGAGCTACCCTGTAACATGTAGGAGAAAGGGATGGATACCTAGGACTTCACAATATTTGCTTCTTTCGCAGAATTCAGACCTATCTTCAGTCAACAAAGCCAATTATTGACTTATATGAAGAAATGGGGAAAGTCAAGAAAATAGATGCTTCTAAATCTGTTGATGAAGTGAGTGTCCCTAACCTGTCTTTAAAAAAAGAGTCAAGTAAAAATGTGATTATGACTTTCGGGGTAGGTAGGCAGGAGAAAAATAAATACTATGACAGATTAGTTTGTTTTTCAAGACACTGGGGACTAAATGAAAAATTATATTTTTTTTCCTTTTTGAATAGAGTCTAAAATGGGTTTTATAACTTCAGACTTGTTCTTCATGAGAAGTGGGTGGTTTATTAATTTCAAACCTCTTCCCAGGTACTAGAAAAATTGGTATTTTGTGAACTGTGATTTGGATCGTGTTCATTTTTTAAAAACCTATAACATGAATGGCAAGTCATCCAGCTCAAGAGCCCCAGGCTGCTGCTTCTCTTCCATCACAGAACAAATAGCTCCAGAGGTGCAGGGGTTCTACAACTTATCACTTCTCTCTTTCTTCATAAATCAGTGATCTCAGAATTGTATAGTTTAGTGCCCAGCAATGTTTTTAGTGTCTCCTAATTCACCTATCTCCTTTCTCCTGACTCCCTGAATTTTCTTCCTCTTATATTCATAAGATAAAAAAGAAAGGCTTAGAGGAAAAAGATTCAGGGGATCTTTTTTAATCCTGTAGAGGTGCTACTTCCTGTGGAGGTAAGGCAATACATGAGAAAACTTTGTGTGTTCGAGTTTTTTTTTTTTTTTTGAGACAAAGTCTTGCTTTGTTGCCCAGGCTAGAGTGAGTGCCATGGCGTCAGCCTAGCTCACAGCAACCTCAAACTCCTGGGCTCGAGCAGTCCTTCTGTCTCAGCCTCCCGAGTAGCTGGGACTACAGGCATGCGCCACCATGCCCGGCTAATTTTTTATATATATATCAGTTGGCCAATTAGTTTCTTTCTATTTATAGTAGAGACGGGGTCTCACTCTTGCTCAGGCTGGTTTTGAACTCCTGGCCTTGAGCAATCCGCCCGCCTCGGCCTCCCAGAGAGCTAGGATTACAGGCGTGAGCCACCGTGCCTGGCCTGTTTTCGAGTTTTTAACAGGAATTTGCTATATGGTATTTTAATAGTATTTGCTTTTAAAATTATTATCTTTTTCCTTTATAGGTTTTTGATGAAGTTGTGAAGATTTTTGACAAGGAAGGATAATTCTAAACCTGAAAACATCCTTGAAATCATGCTTGAATATTGCTTTGATAGCTGCTATCACACCCCTTTTTAAGATAATTTTAATCTTTCATAACTACATCTCAATTAATGGCTGGAAATTATATAGTAAGACAAATTTTTTATGTTCTCTTTTTTTTTTGGTCACCGGAGTAGACAGTGAATTCATGTTTAATTTCATCTTAGTTATGGTGCTCACAAAACAAAGAAGGACATCAGCTAGTTCTTTGTTTTTATTCAAAAAGAATATCCCTTTTGTAGTTTGTGACTTCTGTGAGCAAAACCTTTTAATATGCATATTATATCCCTTTAGTAATTACAGTCTATTAAGATTAGGGACACCCAATTCCTCTTTTTCTTACATGTTTTAAATTTCCAACCTTAGGTGAATCTGTGGACCAAATTTCAAAGGAACTTTTATGTAGTCAGTTCTTGCACAATGTGTTTGGTAAACAAACTCATTAAATGGATTCTTAGCAATGTTTTAGTATTTATCAAATAACTGACCACTTCCTATAGAAAGATAAAAAAAACACTTATGCTTTGCTTTACTACAACTTGTACAAAGTTGTATGACAGGGCATATCCTTTGCTTCCAAGGTTTGGGTTGGGGGCACTCGGGGTACAGAGCCTGGCAGAATTGTCAACTTTATTCTGACATAATCTGAGGGTAGGGGGGAAGGATCACATGTAATGGTATGTGTTCCTTATATTCTATTATATACTGTTATTCATGATTCAACTGAATTAACAAAATTCCTAGCAGTGAAACCTTGAAATGCATGTGCTAGATTTATGCTAAAATGATTCCGTTAGCATTTTAGTAACACTTCAGAGTTTTTTGATTTTTGTTTGTTTTCTAGACTAAATATAAGGTTGGGATAAATTAGAAGCAATTATTGATTAAATTTCCCATTTGTATTTTCTTGAATATTATTTTCATAGTTATTTGTTTAAGAAGACTTAAAAATCATTGCACTTTGGTCAGAAAAATAATAAATATATCTTATAAATGTTTGGCTACTTTTATTCAGTAAATTCTTTTTTGGCATCATATTGAAACATTGAAAGATACAGAATTTTTTAAAGGTCCAAAGGAATATTCTTTAACATTCATTCTTCCTTTATAAATCTCTGAGAAATTTTTTTTCTCTTTTCTTTTCCTTCTATCAATAATGCTAAGTGGTATCCAGATTCTTAATATGAGATTTGTTAAAATGTTTCTCATTTTTGGCATTTACACTGTTTGGTACACAGGGTTAAATAGGGCAAGGATCTTTGTTGTTGTATAATTAGATTTGATATTTAAAGTCATAGGGAATAGTGAGGACAAGTTAATGGATGTTTTTATATTGTAATAGACTCATCTATTTCTATGTGTGTTATAAAATCACTTAAGGTTTTCAACATACTTGCAATTAGAAAACAAAGTATCGCTAAGTACTGTAACATATTGGCCACCAAAATTTGTATTGAGATTATCTTGGTTTCTTGTCTTGGAAGACATTGTAATGAGTTCTTATCTAGTGTTTCAGTCCAGCCAATTAGGGAAGTGGTTTAATCAAAAATTTCTAGTATGAAGCAAGAGTGAAAGACTAAGGTTTTGAGAGCATTCCTACTCACATAAGTGAAGAAATCTGTCAGATGGGAATCTAAATATTTATACTGATATTGTGAAACCAGCCTTAAAGTTTTGAAGAAGACTGTTGAAACTAGGTACTTTGCTTCCTTTCATCAGATATTTTTCTTTGGCATTTGAGATCAGAAACCAAGAAACATGGTAATTACTAAATTATGAGGCTTTGCTTTTTGTTTTCTTTTAAGTAGAAAAACATGTTGGCAATATTGAGTTTGGGGGTTGATTGAGATACATCTGACTTTACTAATTTGGTCATTCCATTTGTTAAAGATACAGTCACTAAGAAGTTTTTGAGTGTTTGGAAAGACCCTAATTTGAGCCTTGCTTGTTTTTTTAAATTAACATTATTTCCATTCAGCAATGTTGGATGCATATGAATTATTTGGTAAATAATCTCAATAAATTTTGTGTTGTGGCCTTTGCTATTTGCTGGTTCAGATTTCTGTTTTCTTAAGCATATTGAAGATCAAGAAGTATTTAACATGAGGGTCCTCACACAGCAAAAGCAGAATTCAAGATCCAGGAGAATTTTCTGCTCTATGTATTATGCTTGTACATCTTGACTAAAACAGAAACATGACTTTATCACATTCCTTCAAAAGGGAATCTAGACTGAGACAAGCAGCCTATTTTATTGCCCACCAACAGCATCAATTGCTTGTCTCTGAGGGGGAAATTGACAACAGGCAATGTGTATCAGGATGCAGGCTTTTTGTGGACTTGTGGCTTTGCCCTTGTAATTTAAGTGGTTGCCAGACATTCCTGTGGTTCCTGGAGATAATAGTGGCTAAAAGTATGTGCCAGACTAGGTCAGCATCTTTTTCCTAGAGGTTTGGTCCTTCATCTTCAAACATGTACTAATTGTACAAGCAGTAGTGCTACAAACACATTTTCTGCCTTCTAAGAGTATTCTGTCTAAATATTCTGATATGGATAGACCTTCTGACGTCTTCTGTTGGTTAATTTTAATCATTCTTATGTATTCTAGTTCTCCCTAGCCCACCAGCATACTTTAGCTGCATACCTCATAATTTAGCTGCATACTTTAGCTAAATTAAGTACTCTACGTAATTCTAAGCATTTAAAAATTTAATTAATTAATTAGAGATAGGGTCTCACTCGGTTGCCCAGGCTGGAGTACTGATGGTAGGATCATTGCAGCTTTGCTTAAATTCCTGGGCTCAAATGATCCTTCTGCCTCAGTGTCCAGAGTAGCTAGGACTACAGGTGGTGGACACCACACTGGCCAGAGCTAAGCATTTTTTTTTTTAAATGAAAGGAAGCTCATTTATTGTGTGCCAAAGAGAAAGGAAAACAGTGGTCCTAATTACTTATCCCTTTTTTCCTCATCCCTGAGGACAATGTAAGAACTCTTTTGGATCCAGGTGTGTTTTTCTTTTAGATGTGGTTATTGTGACTGTAGTATTAATCATGGATCTCTGTTAAGCCCTGAAGGTCACCATCTTTCCTGTTGTGGGGAGAGCTGAAAGACCAAGTTGAATTTCTGGTTCCTACCTTATACCTAATGCCAACCATAACAGCTCATCACTCAGACTCAAACCTTTATGGGATTCCTCCTGTCCCCTTCATCAGAGCAGAACCTCCTTCTCTTGGTTCCCTCTTCTTCAGAGAGGCTTTTCTTTCATGCCTTTGTCCTCCTAAAACCCAGGCATATTTGTTTTTCTGATTTAGGGAGACAAGGATAACAAATCAGAACATTCTTTAAGTGAGGCTGTTTGAGCCACAGAAGAATATTTTTTATTTATGATACGCCTTGAAATAACTGTAACTTCTGAATACTTTATACGCCTTGAAATAACTGTAACTTCTGAATCTGGCCTTTGATACCATACCCAGCCAGAGTAAAGGCATCAGCAGAGATAGGTTACCAGATATTTTACCACATCCCAGACTTAATGTTAGGTAAGCACAGACACACTTTTTTTTTTTTTGAGACAGACTCTCGCTCTTTTGTCCATGGCTTGAGTGCCGTGGCATCAGCCTAGCTCACAGCAACCTCAAACTCCTGGGCTCAAGCAATCCTCCTGCCTCAGCCTCCCAAGTAGCTGGGACTATAGGTATGCGCTACCACGCCAGGCTAATTTTTCTATAATTCATAGAGATGGGGCCTCACTTTTGTTCAGGCTGGACTCGAACTCCTGAGCTCAAGCAATCCTCCCATCTCGGCCTCCCCGAGTGCTAAGATTACAGGCGTGAGACACCACACCCAGCCCAACAGTAAATGTTAATACTTAAAAGCACAAAGCTATGTGCATGGCTCACCCTAAGTTGTTTGTTTTATTAAGAAACATTTTCACAAGTGGCTCTAAAGCAGCTGCCAGAACTTGGCCAATCTAATATAGTGATTGTGATGAGGCTACATCAAAATGTCAGACTTTTTTCTTTTTAATTATGAGGTACATAATAAACACTACTATTGTCCTATCATCAGTTGGGATAGTGGTCAAGGTGACAAATTATTTACATTATTTGGAGGGAAAAAATCCTAAAGTTTAATGGCTGACTTTTTTTTGAGACAGTCTCACTCTATTGCCCAGGTTAGAGTGCCATGGCGTCAGCCTAGCTCACAGCAACCTCAAACTCGTGGGCTCAAGCAATCCTTCTGCCTTAGCCTCCCGAGTAGCTGGGACTACAGGCATGTGCCACCATGCCCGGCTAATTTTTCTATATATTTTTAGTTGGCCAATTAATTTATTTCTATTTATAGTAGAGATGGGGTCTCACTCTTGCTCAGGCTGGTCCCGAACTCCTGACCTTGAGCAATCCTCCCACCTCGGCCTCCCTGAGTGCTAGGATTACAGGCGTGAGCCACCATGCCCGGCCTGGCTGACTTTTAGATTGGGTGAAAATATTCCTACATTAAAAGGACCAAGTTGAAACTATATCAGAATCCCCCTGGTCCCAAAATAACTGTCAGAATGTCTGTGTCATATCCAGTATTAAATATGATTGGGCAGAGACTGTATCTATATTCCTTCCTCTGTTTAAGGCCTTACCTAGGTCTAGGACAAGTGCTATTTAGGGGAAGAAGGTAACTAACTATTGGGCTTGAGACTGGTGCTTCTATGTGCTAATGGAAATTCAGGGGATGGGTTGGGGAGAGAAAACCATTTGTATAGAGAAGGAGGATTTTGTTCAGTTCTACTTCATACATGATGGCTCTTTAGGAGCTTACTTATTCTACCAGTAATCACTCCCACAAAACACCATTTCTTCATCTGTCCAGAAGTCTTGATGATCACAGACCACATTGTCACTTCTCTCCATGAATACTTTATTGAAGAAAATGGGATTCAGGAATGTGACTTCCTTAACACTATCCATCTTTGTTTATCTTTAACTTGTGGTTTGAGTAATTTTATGGGTATTTCTGAGTTTAGTTTATGTATTTGACTTAAGGAAGTAGCTGTTTAATTTATAGTTAGCAGCTAGATCATTGTTTTATAAGATGACACAGATTTTGGCTAGATACATATAGAAAGTATTTGGCTAGATACATATAGGAAGTATTTTCTACTATAGAAAGTGTGTAAGCACATTCATACAAGGGTCTGTCATCTTAATAACTGGACACTAGCAAACCAGTTTTCAGAAATGCTGATTCCTGTGGGGTCAAAGAGTTTTTTACAGGTAGTTTGCATCTTCCTTAGGCAGGGTGTCTATCACCAGATCAGGGGATAACACCACCACCAAAAACTGGCTGGCCAACAATTCAGAATATGTTTGAGACATCAGGGATACAACAGTTAGTATACAAATACTGCCCTTAACAAGCTTACTAGATAAGCTCAAAGCTAGTGGTTTCTTAACTGTATTGTTTCTTAATAGTGCTTTTAATGCTGGTGGACTTTACCTTTATGATCTCATTTTGTTTTCCCAACAATTTTTAGGCAGGTCGGAATGGTGATTTTCCTGTGTCATGGATGATGAAACTTGAGGCCCAAAGAGTCCAAGTTAGTTTCCACAATCTTTACAGCTAGACAGTTGTGGGTTTGAAAAGAACCCAAACCTTTGGGCCTTACTAGATCTGCCTCCCGTCTTTCTAGTACCCCTTGCTGCCTATTTGTAATAAGGCAGTGTGACCTCTCATACCCCTCCATGCTTCCTCAGCCACTAACCTATCACCCTCATTTATTTTCTTTATTCTGTATATCACCATGTGAAGTTACTTTTACTTATTGTTGATCTCCCACACTACATTTTAAGTGCCAGGAGAGCAAAAACATCTTTTTCATCCTTGTTTCCTAGTGCTTAGACCAGTTGTGCACACAGAAGACACTCAGTAAGTATTTGTTGAAAAAGTAAACTGAAAAGGAAAGATATTTTTGGCAGTAGCTGTTAGCTACAAGTTGTATCACTGAGCTTTGAATTCCAGTAGGGTCAGCTTGTGAACTCCTTAGGCTTCTGTTTTCATTCCCCTTGAAGATTGGGAGCTGTTAATAATAAAGTCCTGGGGGTGGAAGGGGAGATGAATTTTAGACCTCTTTGGTCTCCCTCTGCTTTCAGTATACAACTCATAGAAAGACTTAAAATATGACTGTCTCAGAGGGAAAAAAGAAAGACCAGGACCAGAAAACAATGCTTTGGTGAAAATATCACCCACCTACCCTCCCATAGTTCAATCTATGTTGATAGATTTTTGAGCTGTTGTACCTCTATTTCAGTGTTACTGTGTTAGGAAAATCTCTGTTTTATGAATACTTTTAATAGTTTCTGGTTCGTGTTACAGATTTGAAACTACTTAATATAAATTTCTACTTGAAGCCTTATAAGATTACAGTCCATCCTCAGTACTTTAATACCTACTGTATTTCCTTTATTGAGTTGGGAAAGAATGAAGTGAGATTCTTTCAGCCTGCTTTCTCCTCTGTAGCTGTGCCTTGTGGTTCTTGATCAATGGAGTCTTAGAATCGGAAAGAGGCTTCAGAGGTCTTCATTGTATTTCCCTATTCTCTTACTGACCTGACAGGGTAGATTGATAAATTTTTGTATATTGAAAGAAGGAAAGTGTCCTCCTCAAATCCCTCCAGATAGTTAGGAGCAGAATTAGACCCAGAACCCAGTTCTCCTTTTTCCTAGCCCTTATTCCTCAATATCAACATGCTTTTACTTCCGTCATTCCCATCAAGGACTTGGAGAGAGTAATGTTCTGTGATGCTCCAGAACCACTGTTACTATGTAACAGGATTTCATTCAGTGTGCTGAACATTTCCTGAATATATTTTAAACCATCTTTAAAACAAAAACCAATGCCTCAGGTCCTACCCCTAGAAATTCAAATTTGATTTAATAATTTATTTATTTTTAGAGGCACTATTTTTAGTCTTACTCCATCACCCAAGCTAGAGTGCAGTGGTGTGATTATAGCTCACTACAGCCTCAAATTCCTGGCCTCAAGCAATCC